ACTTCTGGTGTGATGTTGCTGCCAAGTGGCGTACCGTTGTCATCGACCATTCCAGAAGAAAACACAATTTCACCTGTATCGGTGGCTGTGAATGATAAAAGCATGGGAGAGTTTGTCAACCTTATGATATCAACTACGGAGATCGTCTAGAATCAATATCCTGCCCACCCTTGCGAAGTATCAGATGTAATCTGAGTGCAATCTCATAGGCACTACAGATACTAACAATCGACGCACTCAGGGACGCGTGCAGAGATACACAAATGCCTACTATAGTAAACAGCCACACAGCTAAGTCAACCATGTGCACACTTTAGCGTACGAGATTGGATAGCAGCCAGCAGTCAATGTCAATGCTCTTATTGAGATACTACAACTAGTTATGTGCATGCCAGTTGTACTAGCAGGACCAACACTGCCCCACATTCCTGGTGAAGAGGCAAGGGATGCACCCTCTATTTGATAGTATACACAACCACTTACTACAATACATACATCCATACTCGCACACAGCCATACACACACACATACATACATACACATACACACAACCACCCACTACAATACAACCACACTCGCACACAGCTATAGACACACACATAAACACAACCACCCACTCACACTCGCACACAGCCAAAGATATACACATACACACACACACACACATGGACACACGCACATAAACACGCGCACACACATGGACACACACACATACGCACAACCGCCTACTACAATACAACCACGGCCGACACAGCCATAGACACACACATACCTGTACGAGGTCGGCCAGCAACGCTTCCATTGGACGGTCTTCCTCTGATGGAGGTACTGCCACCAGCCGTAGCCACACCGCTCGCACCGGCATTGGCCGCATTAACCCACACACGCAGCGACGGATGTAGCATAACGCGTTCATGCGCAGCTATGACCCCATCACGGGCGTATGCCTTTGCCTGCGCCTGTGCTTGTGTGTGTGCTTGTGTGTGCGCGTGGTCTTGCTTGTCCTGTGCCTGTGCGTGGGCGTGTTCAAAGGTCTGCGTGTCTGCGAGTGCGCACACGTCGCTCGCATTGGTGGCTATGATGGTGTAGGTGGTGGCGGATGAGGGCGAGGGTGGCACCGGACGATAGTCATTGGCCGTTGAGCTGCAAGGGTTGGGTACCACGGGATGGTACAGGTACGCTGGTCGGTCGCCTATATCTTGGCTGCCCTTTCCTGGCCGCCGGGTGTGGGGTTGACGATCTCTGTGTGGATGCACACGTGTGCAGGAGGTACATGCGCACGTCAGGCGAGTATGGGCGTTTCAATGGTCTGTGATTGAAGAGGTGTATGCACAAGCACATGCACATCATGCAACTACCCGCGATGGGTTGTGTACACACCTGGCGATGTGCAGAAACCCTAGCACCCTAGAACCTTAAACACCCTAGAACCATAGAAACCCTAGAACCCTAGAACGCTCATGTTGGGTGGGGTATACCTACTAAGCACTGTCTGCGCACACGAGGCTAGCATATGCCATGATGGCACTTACTGTTTGAGATTTCATGATCGCACCCACTGCAATCCAACTTCGCCCACCCATCCAACAATGAGAAGCTAACACGAAGCGCGACAAATAAATATATATATAAAGAAATAAATACATAAATACATAAATACATAAATACATAAATACATAAATATATGAAGTTAATAAAGAAGTAAATATATGAATACATAAATAAATAAATGAATAAATACATAATACATAATAAAACAATACATAAATAAATACATAAATATTTAGATAAATAAACAAGTAAATAAATTAAATAAATAAACAAATACATATATAATTAAATAATTAAATAAACATACAAATCCATAAACAAATAGATTCAAGGTCAATAAATAGATAAATAAATAAACACACAAATACATAAACAGATAGATTCAATCTTAATAAATAAACAAATAAACACACCTGTACCGCAGTTGATCATGTCTTCGTTGTTTGCGGTTGTTGGGTGTGCTATGGCCACATGATCGGAAACACAGGGCAGTGACTAGCGGCAACGTCTTCTCGAGAATGCGAATGATCTCACTCAGAGTGGCAGTCATGGCCCATCTCGGGATCACCACCTGCAAAAATCAGAACACATATGTGTGAAAATCGGTGTGTGAGTGTGTGTGCGTGTATGTGTGTGTGCGAGTGTGTGTACCTGTGTGTTTGTGTGTGTGCGTATGTGTGTGTGTGTGTGTGTGTGTGACCGAGAGAGTGTGTGTATGTGTTTGTGAGTGATTGAGTGTGATAGTGAGTGTTTTGTGTGTTTGTGCGTGATTGAGTGAGTGAGTGAGTGTTATGTTTGTGTGTTTGTGCGTGATTGAGAGAGTGAGTGAGTGTTTTGTGTGTGTGTTTGTGAGAGAGAGACACACACACAAGATAGACAGATAGAAAACGAGAGAGCGAGAGAGTGAGAGAGAGAGAGAGAGTGTGTGTGTGTGTGTTGTGTGTGTGCAACGAAACGAGAGAGTATGTGTGTATATATATGTATATATATATATATATATATATATATGTATATATAAGAAACGAATTGCACACTAGCACAAATCCTACACAGCCCATAACAACACATGTTCAGATGCCGATATGTCTGTCCATACAACCTTCGAATGGTGCACATTCATCGATCGGCCCCCCAGTCCCCACCCTCTGGCCACCGCCGTTGCTACGGAGTTCTGGTAGACCGGATTGAGTCTGGGCAATGTCACGCGAGCACTCTCGGCTGAGCGTCCCTGTGTCCTCTCCTGTTGCCCTGTTTCCCGTGTTGTTGCGTGCTGTGAGTCTCGTGCGCCTGCTTTTGTGGAAGATGGTGAATGTAGTGTGATGTACTCTTCAAACCCGCACGTGGCTTTACATCGCTCACAACCATCGTCCAGGGCATCGGCGTGGTCTCCAGTCTGTGATAGGAGAGTAGAGAGCGAACAAAGAGCTCAACAGGATTAGGGGGAGTTCAGATTAGTGCTAAATATAGGTTGTGTTTGGAGAAAGTACGCAAATAAACCTGCAAAGGCAACTTTAAAGTGTATATAGGAAACGTTCTAAAAACAGCTTGCAAATGAGAACTATCAAATCACGCACACTTCTTGATACTTACTCACACATGCAATTAAACCTAGATCACGCTATATACTCAATACCCTATACAAAGGC